AGTCATTTTATTTTACCAGAGCTGATATCATTCAGTTTGTATTTTTGGGAGGTTATCCTAGGTTGACTAAGAAGTGGTTGGTGTGATGGTAGTTAGGAGCATGATATTGGGAGTCATTTCTCCTGGGTCACCTCCTGGCTGTCTCACCCTGGCTAATTTAGGTAATCTGACCAATCCTGAGATTACTCATCTGCAAAATGAGAGTAATGATAGTACCTACCTTCTAGATCTGCTATGAGGAATAAACAAAGTTATGCAGTAGATTGCTGATCTCTTAACACAGAAAGATGTTAACTATAAAACTATCATTCTAAGTGAAATAAAAGAATATCATTTTGGGCTGGGGTTGTGGCTCAGTGGTACAATGCTTGCCTATTGTGTGTGAGGCACTGGGTCCGATTCTCAGCACCACATATAAATAAATGAATAAAATAAAGTCCATTAACAACTAAGAAAAAGAAGAAAAAAATATCATTCTGTTAAAGGGCAAAGGTTGGAGGTAGAAGGACCACATAGAAAGTAGGAAAGTCATCTTTTACTATTTAATAAGCTATATTAATATTTTAGAGCTTTAAAATTTTTAAAAATAATATTTCATTSTAATATAAAAATCTTAATTGTGTTTGTTTACTGTGTGTGTTTAAAATATAGTCTACATATAAAAAGGCAATCAGTTATTTTGTAGCCCTCTGGTTAATATTGTGGTCTTAGTCTCATATGTTTTTTTTCAAAGTTACAATTTTTTAGGCCATATAATATTTATTTAGAAGTTTAAGTCTTTAAGCAGATTTTGCATAAACGAAGTTTTCACACATGTTCAGAATCTCAGTTCCAAATGTCATAGAACTATATGAATGTGGTTGAGTAACAAACATAGCAAATAGAGTGATCCTTGTTGTCATTACATACATTTGAATTCTGGCTCCTTTTTTAAAAAAATAGTGTCATGGGGCTGGGGTTGTGGTGGTAGAGTGCTTGGCTGGCATGTGTGGGGCACTGGGTTCAATCCTCAGCAAGCACCACATAAAAATGAAATAAAGATGTTGTGTTCACCTACAGCTTAAAAAAAAAAAGATAGTGTCCTGATTTTTAAAGAAGTTACTTAATCTTTTTTGAGTCAGTGTTCCTAATGAGTAAAACGGGAATGATATTACCTGGCTTCCATACAGTGTTGGTATGTGAATTAAATTATGAACATATATGTATCATATAGTTGGTATATAATAAATGGGGCATAGTATTTATATGCATGGACTACTGTGTGCATGTGTTTTTATAGCTTGATAATTGTTATATATTCTAATTTTCCAAAAGCATTTARCAATATTAGTTTATATTTAAGAATTCATTCAGTTTTCATGAAATCTGGCCTCTTTCTTTTTTTTTTTTTTTTGTGGTACTGAGGATTAAACAGGGTCTCACCCATGCTATCCAGGTACTCTACCACTGAGTACATCCTCACCCCTTTTTAAATTTTATTTGAGGCATGGTCTTGTTAATTTGCAGGGCCTGGTACTGCACTTGTGATCCTCCTTGCCTTAGCCTCCTAAGTAGCCAGAATTACAAGTGTAAGCCACTGTACCCAGCTTTTGTAATTTCTATATAAATAATTCATGTAGATTAGGAATTCAGTGATATTTTTATTATTATTTGCTCTTATTTTGGGAAATTAACTATATAAAGCTTATTTAAAGCTAAATTTGTTTTGTATTTTTATTTTACTAAGCACCTAATTTTGTATTAATGTGTCCTCTAAAACAATACTTATTAATATGAGAATGAGACATCATTCTGCTTTTAAAAATTAAAAAAAATTAAGTTGTATATTTTTGAAGTTCTGTAATTTCCACACATGCTAGGCTTTATACATGTTAGGCAAGCACTCTACCACTGAGCTATATCCCCAGCCCCTGTTCTCACCTGCTTTTTGAGACAGGGTCTGGTTAAGTTGCCCCAATTGGCCTCAAGGTTTATATGCCTTCTGCCTTAGCCTCTAAAGTTACAGGAACCTATCACCATACTCTACCCTGTAACTGCATTTTTTTTTGTGTGTGTGTGTATGTGTGTGTGCCAGGGATTGAATCCAGGGTTGTTTAACCTCTGAGCTACATCCTTAGTCCTTTTTAATTTTTATTTTGAGACAGTCTCACTAAATTGCTTAGAGTCTCACTAAGATGCTGAGGCTGGCTTTCAACTTACAAACCTCCTGCCTCAGGTGCCTGAGTTGCTGGGATTACAGGCATGCACCACCAAGCCTGGTGAATTGCAACTGCATTTAAAAAGTTATACTACGGTTGTGTTTGAATATCTTATGTATCTTAGTGTGAGCTAAACATACAATATGGTTTAGTGAAATGAAATCATGTTACAGTTTTTGAGTTTTTTACTTTTTGAGTAGATATCTTTATTAGGTAATCTTTATGTTTCTTAAGGTTTTTATTATTTTTTTCCTTGGTTTTTCTTTTTTTGGTGTAGTTATACTCTTTAGATGCTTTTATAATGTTGTGTCTCTCAGGTGAGATAACTAGCTTCATTGCATGAAATACAGATTTTAATAAACCAAGAGGCAACAAGAAGGACAAAAACATTATTTCTCCTTAGTCTTCTGAATATGAATTAAGAGTCAATAAGTTGTACATAGTGGTCTTATGAAAACAATGCTGCAATAATGACAGATAAAAAAACACCCAGTTTTTTACAACTTATTTGATATAATAACACTTAATGGCAGTATTCTGGTCATTACCTATAGAAAAGGAACTACTTAGAAACTTCCATTGACTCTTGATATCCTACTCCTTTCTCTGCTCTGTGATAAGAAATGTTAAAAAAAAAAGGTTAAGAAGAATCAGTGGGTGAGAAAATGCACTAGACAGTGAGGAAATAATATGATAAACAGTTAATTTTAATTTTGCCTTAGAATCATCCAGAATGACCTGTGCAGGAATTTGCAAATGTAAATGCAAATATTGAATTCTTTTGATAGTTTGCTCTCTCAAGCACTATACACAGCAGTATACTGATGGCAGCTGCTGCAACAGAAGTACCATTAGAGCTATAGTATTGTACTAAAATGTATAGCACTGGAAAATAATAGCAGGGAAAGCAGCCAAAAAGGTAGCAGTAAGTGTTTGTTTAGAGGAAGTCACTTGAAAAAACTAACCAAAACAGTGCATAAGGTGCTCAAGAGGCACTTGCTTAGCATGCATGGGGCCCTAGGTTTGATCCCTAAACCACCTCAAGAATGTATGCTTTATGTGTATGAAAACAATGTATTCTCTTGGTTTCTGTAGATATAAAAATAAAGGTGATTGGTTACCAGCGTTGGTTTTAAGGTTAAGAATAAAGACTTGGTAAGTAGAATCTTATTTTCTCATTTGTATACATTTTTACAAAACTAGAAAAAAATCCAGCTGATAGTAGGCTAACAAGTTATAAACTTTTCACTGTGCTATACCTAAGTCATCTGTGAGTTAAATAGCTCTGAATTTTTTGAAATTTCGTATTTATCTTTATAATACCCATATCTTTTATATAATTTATATATCATAATATATTCATTTTATGTAAATATAACAGTGTTTAAAATTGACCCTCCAGGAAGATGTTCCATTTGAGTGGAAATTACAGGTGATTTGATAGATAAATACTTGGCTATTTAACACCAAGCACTCCTGCCCTCTGTCTACCAAAGTTCTTCATTAGATAGCAAGTGGAGACTCTGTACTCCAAAAAACAAATAAGGCTGATTTATTTTTTTCCAGTTAAAAATATGAACTATCTTACTAGTGATTTCAGAAGTTGGATATGGAATACTATAGAMTGGTTGTATGGTTTCGGTAATATGAATAAATATTTTTAAGCTGAAATAGATAAAATTTATAGATAGGTAAGAAATATTGCCTTCTAAATGTGAAGAGAGTTAACTCACTTGGTGAAATCTACCTTAAAATTCTTAAAAAGCTTCAAATAAGATTTGTCAGAACCATTGAACAATATATTCTTTTTCTGCTGACAGTATTTTTGTCATCCAGATTGTGAGTATACAAAATTAAGATGGTAAGAATAGCTGCCTTTTAGTGGTTTCTCTTTGGAAAAACACATTGAGACTCATTGGTACTCTTCAGAATACATGTTTTTCATTGTAATCTCTTATTTTCAAATTTAAAATTATTTTTGAAGAGTTGAAATATTGAAATGGTTCAAAATTCAAAAGAAATTTAATTGTTCAAAATATCTAGATATATTTTAAGCACTGGCAAGTGTGTGTGTATAATTATTATATATTTCCTTTACCTCCTTAAAATAGAAATGGTAGCTTATTATATATATTTCAAGGAAGAGATGAGCTTTTAATTTTTGTTTTGTACTTTGGAATAAAAAGTTTTTATATGTTACATAATTCACAATCTGTATGAAATGTGCCTCTGTCATCTTTTTTTAGGACTGCCTGGTATTCTGTTGAGTGTAGATGTCCCCATTTTTTTTTTTTTTGTACCAGGTATTCAGCTTAGGGGAGCTTAACCACTGAGCCACTGCCTCAGCTTCCCAAGCTTCTGGGATTACAGGCGTGTGCCACTGTTCTTGGCATGTCTCCATTTCCCACTCCTGCAACCAGTGGTTGGTGTTAGACTTCTACTAGGTTGTTGCATAATAGTCTTCACTTCATAAAATATCTCAGTGTTGAGAATCATTTGTTTCTCATTTAACCAGAAATGTTATAGAGTTATAAAAAGAATGAAGATGAATGTTGGGGAGCTGATTAAGGAAGTGTAGTCTTGAGGCACTTTCTAATGATGAAAGGTAAGGATGGCAAGAGGTTAGGAAGAGTTGTTTGTATGGATAGGCAAGGCCTCCGGGAGGGTAGGACATTAAACTGACTTGGATGAAGAGGCTTCTGGGTAAAAATCAGGGTCTTATGGTGAGAGAATACTGAACACAGAGTCCCTGGAGAAGAAGTGAATGAGGTCTACAGCAGAACTGGATGGAGAACCCTTGTGGTTGGAATTGAAGAAAGTGAGAGGAGACTGGCAGGCACCAGAGCACTTCTGTGTCTGGAGTAATTGAAACAGGTGAGTGATATGATCTTCCTTAGAGTTTGAAAATATCTCTGTCTCTGCTAGGCAGTGGAAATCAGGAGCTCAAGTAGAAGTTGTTGCTAATTTAGACAAATTACAGCTTGGACTGTGGTGGTAATAATGGAAAAGAGAGAACTAGTTTTGGGGTATGTTTTATAAGTAGAGCAGTTGGGATTTGCTCATAAGTTTTGGATTTTGAGGGAGAGATGAGCTTTCAGTTTTTAAGACATGCTCTGTAATGGTAAAAAAGCAGAATATTAATTTATAAGCAATTTGCTCTATGATTTTAGTAGTGTTGACTGAGGGTCACTTGTCCACTTGAGTTGATTCTTTTGAATATTGAGCAAATATAGAAACTGGCTCTTGAATCTCCAGTCCTTTCCTATATGGTTTCTACCACTGCTTTTTTCTGTGGTAGAAACCCTGGTTCTCCCACTGCCTGTAGTCTTGTAARCCCTATTCTGGCCTCTAGCTGGGAACATCTTCCCTTTTCCACCAGCTATTTCTTGCTCTCTTTTTCTACATTACTGTCCTGTGTTCCGATGCTGGGATGTACAGATGCTTCTTTATCAGTAGAGCAAGAGCATTGCAGCCCATCCTGAACTGTGGTTAGAGGGTGATATCACAATTCCCAGGGATCTTGGAGATTTGGGTGGCTGAAAGCAGTGGAGTATCAGCTGTCAGAATTTCTGCATAATCTTATTATTTCTGATTTTGTGTAGTTAGATAAGATAAAAAACCATTTGTGAGCTGATCTTAGGTTTATAAACATCTTTTAATACAACCATCACATTTCAATTAGATTGATTTTTTTTAAAAAATTTTTATTTACAGACGGATGCAATATCTTTATTTTGTTTATTCATTTTTGTGTGGTGCTGAGGATCGAACCCAGTGCCTCACATGTGTGAAGCAAGTGCTCTGCCACTGAACCCCAACCCCAACCCCACAATTAGATTGATTTTTATAATCACATCATGTTATATTGTCTTCCAAAGTCTGTAGTTTCCCTTAACCAGATACTGTACTTCAATAATATAACTTACTCTTGGGTTTCTTTGTTATATAACTACTGCCCAAGGGTACTGTGTGTGTGTGTGTGTGTGTGTGTGTGTGTGTGTATGTGTGTGTATTTGTGTGTATTTCCTTTTTCTTATTGGAAGAGCAGGTTCAGTAGTGGTTGTCTTCTCACTCATACACTGTAATTTTGTGCATGGCGCTCTTTTATTTAGCCACTCCTGAATTCCGGTACAATTGGTACAAACTCACTTTTGCTGTAGAAGATTKAAGTTTTCAGAACAGATTATAGATATTTACACACATAGCCTCTAAGGGTAGGGACTCAGGAAAGAGTATAGGAGGAGCTTAGTGGATGTAGGAGGAAATTGTGGAGCAGGTGAAGTCCATGGTAGGTGCTATGTATGTTAGGTAGTTGAATTAGTAGGGGAATGTTTGGGAAGTTGCCATAACCAATGATCACAAGATTGGCAATTTAAAGCCACAAAGTTTATTCTTTTAGAGTTCTAGAAGGCAGAAGTCTGAAATGAAGATGTTTTCAGGGCTACACTCCCTCTGAAGGCTGGAGAGTTGTATTAGGGTTCTCACAGAAGGGGATATATTAGAATCAACTCACATGATCAGAAGCTGGATAGTCCCATAATGGCAGTCTGTAGGCTAGAGAACCAAAGGAACCAGTAGCTGCTCAGTTCAAGAAGCTGGAGCCTCAGAACAAGAGGGATCAATAAAACAGTCCATGTCTGACCTGAAGGCCTGAAAAGCCCCTGAAGAATTGCTGGTTAGAGTCCACATTAGAAAAGTGAAGGAGCTAGAGTCTGATGTCCTCAGTCAATTGGTAGCAGCAGTAGACACACCCACTCAAGAAGAATTGAACTTGCATCTGCCATAGCTTTCTCTTTTTCTGATTGTGTTGTCTCCTTACCTCACAGACTATTGGATGGTGCCACCCACATTCAACGTTGATCTCCTCACTCAGTTTGCTGTCCTACGTGCGGATGATTGGTCTCTGGAAACCATAGATGAACCTAGAATTCTCTTAATCCTAGRCATCTCTCAATGCAATCAAGTTGACCATCCAGATTAACTCTCAAAAAGGTTCTTTGCCTCTTCTATCTCCTGGGTGTTCCAGGTGTTCTTTGATTTGTGACTGTATCTTTCCATCAACGCCTCTGTCTCCACATGGCTTCTCTTTTTTATGTTTATTCCTTCTTCTCTCTTTTAAGGATGCTTCTCATTGAATTTAGAACCCACCTGTAATTCAGGAAGATTTCATCCCAAGATCTGTAACTTAAATCTGTAGAGATCCTTTTTCCAAATAATATAATATTCGTAGGTACCAGGTATTAGGGCGMAATGTTGGCACCACATTTTTGGACTTAGTTATTCCTTTTTTTAAAATAATGTATTATATGTATATTGTTGGTATTGTCACAGGGCTTTCTTTAAATCACTGTTCAATTGTGTATTTTGAAATCAGATAGTTTACAGTTATGAAATAGCATGGATCAACTAGGTAACATTTGAAAAGTAAAAGAAAATCTTAGCTAAACACTTCAGAATTAGATAATTTGTGAAGTAATTTCTCCTGAATTGTTACAGTATCATTTTTTGGGGTCTTCTTTTTGAAAAATTTGAAATATTCAAATATCAAAATGTTCAATATTCAATATTCAAAATATTCAAAATATCACATATTCAAAAATCAGCATGCCAGCTCTATTCTATTTCCCAATCTTCACATTTTGTTTAAAAAAACAAAGCATCACATATGTAGTTGAACTCTGATATTATTTTCCTTTCCTTTTACCTATGAGCAATCATTATTCTTAATTTAGTACATTGTCATACTCATTCATGATACCCTCTCCATTAAGTATATAGTTCCATCCATGAACAATATATAGCAGTATGTAGCATGCATAAAACTGTATATTGTGCAGTATTAGGATATGAATACACAGTACATATACAGATACACATGTTTGGATATGTGTGTACATATGATTTTAAAAAAGTTTTAAAATTTAGAGTATTATATTGATACATAGTATCTGGGTTCCTTTTGACATAATTATACATACAAGGAATTTGATTGGTCCCCATTTCTCCTCCTCTTTCTTATACCCTTCCCTCCTTCTCTTTTCCCTCCTCTACCCCACTGATCTTCCTTTTACACCTTTATTTATTAATTTTTGGTTGGTACTTTTTTACATGTACATAAAAGACACTCCCTTTGGTACATTWAATATGTCTGTAACATGATTCTGTTAGACTAATTTCATATTTCTCTCCCCTCCCTTCTTCCCTTTTCCTTTTTCTTTTACTCCTCTGATGTTCTCTGTATCTTTGTGATCTCTTCCTCCCACTTCTTTCTTTTAATTTTGCCTTAACTTCTTCATATGAAAGAAAACATTTGACCCTTGATCTTCTGAGTCTGGCTTATTTCACTTAGCATGATTTTCTCTATTTCCATCCATTTAAAAGCAAATGCCATTATTTCATTCTTTTTTATGGCTGAGTGAAACTCCATTGTGTATATATACCACATTTTCTCTACCCATTCATCTGTTGATGGGCATCTGGGTTGATTCCATAATTTGACTATTGTGAATTGTACTGCTATAAACATTGTAGTGACTACATTGCTGTAATATTCCGATTTTAGTTCTTTTGGTTAGATGCTAAGTGTGGGATAAATGGATCACATGGTGGTTCCATTCCTAGGTTTTTGAGGAATATCTACACTGCTTTCGAAAGTAATTGTACTAATTTGCAGTCTCACCAACAATGTATGTATGTACCTTTCCCCCACATCCTCACCAGCATTTATTTTTATTCATATTTCTGATAATTGGCATTCTTACTGGAGTGAGATGAAACTTAAAGTAGTTTTGATGATTTTCATTTCCCTGATTGCTAGAGATGTTGAACATCTTTGTGGTATTTGTGTTTCTTCTTTTTAGAAATTTCTRTTTAGTTCTTTTGCCCATTTGTTGATTTGGTTATTTATTTTTCTGGCATTGAGTTAGTTTGTTTGGCACTAGGGATTTAACCCAGGGGTAYATAACCATTGAGCCACATCCSCAGCCCATTTTTGTATTTTATTTAGAGAGAGGGTCTCACTGAGTTGCTTAAGACCTTGCTAAGTTGTTGAGGCTAGCTTTGAATTTGTGATCCTCCTGCTTCAGCCTCCCGAGCTGCTGGGATTACAGGTGTGCACCACCATGCCCAGCTGGCATTGAGGTTTTTGAAAATTTTTAAATGTATTCTGGATATTAACCTCTTGTCAGAGGAGTAGTTGGCAAGATTTTTTCCCATTCTGTTGGCTGTCTTCATCCTTGTGTTTTCTTTGCTGTGTAGAAGCTTGTTAATTTAATGGTATCCCATAGCACCTCTAAGGTTTCTGGTCTAACTTCTAAATCTTTGATCCATTTTGATTTGATTTTTGTGCAGGTAAAAGATATGGATCTAATTTCATTCTCCTACATGTAGATATCCACTTTTCCCAGCACCATTTGTTAAAAAGTCTGTCTTTTCTCCAGTATGTTTTAGTCCAGTTTTTCACTGACATTACCAAAAAACCTGAGAAGAACAATTAGAGGAGGAAAAATTTATTTTGGAGCTCAGGATTTTGGAGGTCTTAATCTATAGATGGCTGTCTCAGTTGGTGTGGGCCCAAGGTGAGGCAGAACATTAAGGTGAAAAAATCGTGGAGGAGGAAAGTAGCTCAGGACATCCCACCAGAAATCAAGGGGTGCGGGGAGAGAAAGAGGGAGCGTCGCTTGCCCACGTGCTCTCCTCACTGTGGACAAAATATAATTTCCCCGGGTATGCCTGGAATGCCTGATCAACCCAGCTTCTCCAGCCACACACTACAGACCTACAGTTCCTATTCTGTTACTCCCAATCAGGATTAATGCACTGGTTAGATTAAGGCTTTCTTAACCCAATCATTTCACCTCTAACCTTTCTTGCAT